TCCTCCTCCTCCTCCTCCTCCTCCTCCTCCTCCTCCTCCTCCTCCTCCTCCTCCTCCTCCTCCTCTTAATATCCATCCAAACTCGCATTCTCCCAGGCTGAATGATCGGCCAAGCGGGAGGTCTGGCTGGCCGAAACCCAACGGCAGCTGCCCCCCCCGAGCCGATTCACCGGAGGAGGTGTTTGACCTCCTCCCTGGCCCTCTTAGCGGTGGCCGCATCCTCCTTGGACTCCGGTGCTCCTCCGCCGCCGCCGCTGGCGCCGCTGCTAGAAGCGGCCTGGCCCTTGCCCTTGCCCTTGCCCTTGCCCTTGCCAGGCGTCCTCTTCGGGGGCGTCTTGAGCTGGCCCGCGAGCTCCCCCCTGACGACGCGAAGCTCTGCGCCTGCAGCAGCGCTGGTGATGATGGAGCACTGCGTGGGGTCGCGAAAGGCGAGCTGGTTCACCCGCAGCGTAAGGCTGATCGTTTTCGTCTCAGCCAGCTGCTTGTAGGTGAAGCACCAGGGCACATCCACCGCAGCCGCGGTCATGAGGACGATGCCCGTGCCACTCTCGGCCTCCGCCTCGGTGATCTGGGGGATCATCCAGGCTGGCACGAACTCTGGCGACGAGAACGTTGATGGCCCAGGGTTGACGCACAGTGTGACAGAGCCCACCGCGCACACAGGCACGGCGCCTGCAACGGGAGATCGGGTGACCTCTGGGGAGTCGAAGAACAAAAAATCCTATCCTTCCAGTTTCGTTCTCACCCACCCTCTGGTCGTGGAGTGGGAACGGGAACGATGACGATGAACGAGAGCAATGGAGTGCACAAGTTAATAAAGTAGTGGAGGGCGGAGGGTGGTAGGAGAGGGAGGGAGGGCAGGGCCGCGGTGGCGATGGCTTTTTGAGTGCGCTAACGTTGGCTAGCAGGCGCGGCAACGGCCAGCCGCGACCGAGGGCCCCCCCCCCCCGCCGCTTCGGGCAGGACAGGCGCAGCGATTTTGAATGGGGGCCGAGGGGAGGCGGAAAAGAGGAGGAGGGAGGAGGAAGGAGAGAGGGACGGAGGAGGATGGAGGAAGAGGGGCCACAAGGCTGAGGTGAAGGTAGGAGGAGAAGGCGGGGAGGGGAGGAGGAGGGAAGGCGAGAGGAGGAGGAAGAAGAGGAGGGGGAGGGGGAGGAGGAGGAGGAGGACGGAAGGCGAGAAGAGGAGGAGGAGGAGGAGGAGGAGGAGGAGGAGGAGGAGGAGAGGGAGGGAGAGAGAGAGAGAGAGAGAGAGAGAGAGAGAGACCTTGCTTCCTCCTCCTCCTCATCATCATCATCATCGTCATCGTCTTACTCATCACATTCCCCCTCCATTTCATCCTTGTCCTCCTCATGCTCTTCATCCTCCCCTTCCGTAGCCCGTGTGCACCGGTCCTATCAGGTTCAGCGCCATCTCTTCGGGGTCCGCGACCTCGCCGCTGTTGATGAACATGATGCGCACATCGTTGTCGTAGGGGTCTGCGTGCAGGAGCCCTACGCGCATGTCTGGCTTCAGGACTCCGACGTTCGACGCCTGCATGGCCATCTCCATCAGCTTGCTCTCTAGCTGGAGGATCAACGAGTGCATCGCGCACGCAGGCAAGTCATTATCATCGGCCTTCCACGAGGCTCTGATGGCTGGGAGCGAAGATAGTGATGCCCGCCTCTCCGCCACCCTCTTCTCCTCGAGCTGGGCGGCCTCGTCCTGGACCCGCGCGGCGGCCTCGCGTTCCTCGTTCAACTTGGTCTGGGCCCATCCGCTGAGAAACTTTGCGCCACGGGGAGCTGGCATCTCTTCCTCATTCTGGACTGGGGCGTAGGCATCAGCAAAGAGAGAGCACCATAAAGCAGCCCAGCTGTGAGGCGTGGTCTTCTCATTCTCGAAGAGATGTGCCGGTTCGTTCTGACCGTGGTACACGATGTCCACGAGGAAGCCGAAGTCTCTGTTGGTGAGCTGTTCGGGGCCCTGAACGAGCGAATAAACGGCGCGACGGAAGTAGAGAACCCTCTGCGAGATCATCTCGGTGATATCAGCCTTCTCCTTGAACGCGCCACCACTCGAGAGCTTGTCGACTGATGGGGGCGCCCCAGCGGCGTCAATGACCTTGAGCGCGTGCAGCGCGAACTTCATCCACATCTGCGGCATGGCCTTGGAGATCCCCCGCGAAGGATAAGTGGGCGAAATGGGGGGGGGGCAAGAAGGAGAAGGAGTGGGGCTGTCCTCAGCCACTGCAGTGCAAGTCACCTCCATCTTCTTCTCGCCCCCCTGGCACCTGCGCACGCGGCAGCCCGACACCTTGGCGACGATGGTGCCCCCAGCGCGATGCACGCCGCCTGCAGCGCGACGCTCGCGCGCGGGCGAACGTTCGCAAGCACGTGCTGGATCATTTTCTTCGAGAAGGCGGAGTCCTCAGCCACCTGCGCGATGATGGACACCTCGGGGATGGACTTCGCAAGCTTGGACATCTAAGCATCATGCGCCTCGTCTTCGACGTCGTCCTGCCAGTCGTCCAGTCTGTTCAGGTAAAGATCGACCACCTCGTCTCCAGTCCAAGTAGCTGGAATCCCCGTGGCAACTCGGAGTGCGCCACCGTGGGCTTTGATGACCTGCGTCCTCAACTCCTTCCGGAGGGCTTTCCACCCAGTGAACTCCGCGGCGCCGATGGTGAGCGTCTTCGTCATGGCGAATTCCATGCCCAGCTGGAGCAGCCTCTTCACCTCTCTCTTCTTCACCATCTCTCGCTGGAGTACCTGCAATGGCGCAGTGATGCAGGCGATCAAATCATCAAGCCAGTACTTCTCGCGCGAGGCAGCTGTCTCGAGCGTGAGCCTCTCATCTGGCACCAGCTGCTGCTTGGGCTTTGCTGATGCTGCCTTCGCCTTGCCCTTGGCCTTCCCCTTGGGCGCTGGCGCTCCTGGCGCTGGCGCTCCTGGCGCTGGCGGCGGCGCCGGCGCTGCACCTGGCGCTGGCCCTGGCGCTGGCCCTGGCGCTGGCGGCGCTGGCGCTGGCGGGTCGGCTGACAGCGCCGCCGCGGCCGCCTTGGAGGCCGCCCCGGGGACCTTCGCCGGCGGCGCAGCAGGAGTGGAACTGCTGTCATCCTGGGTGCGTTTCTCTCCGCCGCTGCTGGCCGAGGCGCTCGCGGACGAGCTCGCCCCCGCCTGCCGGGGCGGCGGCCGGGGCGGGGGCGGCCCCTGCGCGGGCGGCGGCAGCGCGGGCAGCGCGCTGGCAGCAGGAGCAGGAGCCGGAGGGGCCCCAGCGCCGAGCTTGGCTTTCGCCGCCGCAGCAGCCTTTCTAGGCCTCCTAGATGGGGTCGGACTAGATGGGGTCGGAGGATCGGAGGATCGCGCCGCGTGGCCGATGCATCGGCGATGTGGCTCGATGCGGAGCCCGATTTTCGCCGTGCCGATGTCGCCGATGCGCGGCCGACGTCCCCGATGCGATGCATCGCCGATGCATCGCCGATACATGGGCGATGCATCGGCGATGCGTCGCGATCCTTCGACCCCATCTGCTCGGGCCCCATCTAAGAGGCCTCTAGCCTTGGCCTTGGACGAGGACGCGGCCTTCTCAGCCGCCCGCGCCTTGGCCTTCGCCGTGACATCCTTGTCCCTGAACAGGACGGGCCCCGACGTGGGCGTGTTGAGCATGTTCAATATTTCTTGGTCACATCAGTCGAAGTGAACAACCAGCGCCCATGCTCTTGGGCGCCATATTTCATCATCCACGGCTGGCCAACCTTCAACAATTCAAAAAGGACGGTCTTCAGCATGTCTGCGTCCATGGTGTCATTGTAGTGACATTCAACGAAGTCGAAAACGATTGAGTTCACGGCGACCACTGTGGAAGCCTTGAGACCTGGATTGAGGTAGTCGCAGTTGGCGCCGAAGAAGTCCGCGCACTCGGCCCAGATCCCGAACCTCGGGAGCCGCATTCACAAAGACTGAATGGATGATAAAAAAACGGGGAGGAGGCAGGAGGCAGGAGGAGGGAGAGGAAGGCAGAGGCGGAGGAGGAGGAAGGAAATCAGAGGCAGGAGGAGGAGCAGGCAGGGAAAAAAAAGAGAGAGAGAGAGAGAGAGAGAGAGAGAGAGAGAGAGAGAGAGAGAGAGGGGAAGCGGGTGGGAGGGCAGCAGATCGATTGCCGAGCCGATGGGCCGATGATCGCACATGATCCACATGCGATTGAACATTCCAATCCCTGATTTGTCTCGTCTTGTTAATTCCCCCTCATCCTCTTCATCGCCCATCCTCCATGCAATCGCGCCCTTCCCTCCCCCCTCTGATAGCATCGAGGCTCGCGCCCCGCCATGTCCCTCTGAAGTTTCCGGCACTTGACGTACAAGGCGGGGGTCTCACCGAAGTGCGTGCCATAATTGTACATGGCCCACTTCTCGCGCTGCCGCTCGTGCCGGTTCGGGCCAGACTTGGGGCACTTGGCGTAGGTGATGTTGTTCTCCTGGGCGTGGGCAGACCACCCTGTCTCGATCTCATCGGCAAGTTGCAGCAGTTCCATGTGCGTCGTGGAGAGCCCTTCGTGAAAAATGTTGGCTTCGAACTTTAGCCATTGCAAGACGTCTTTTAGCGCGTCTGCCCGCCATCCCTGAATGGTCACGCCGCCCCTCCTCAGCTGTCCGACGTAGCCGCTGCCCGGCCCCATTCTCTCGGTCGCGACGATGGGCCGGCAGAGAGGAGCGGACAAGAAGAAACAAAAACAGGAGGAGGATGGAAGGGCGGAGGAGAGAAGGCCACGAATAAGGGGCAGGGGCAGAGCGAGGGGCCTCGATCAGCGCGGCGCCCGCAAACATCATGTAGGCGTTCGGTGCGTCGCTGTTCCTCGCGCCCATCATCTTGCCCTGGAATGCTGCGCACAGGCCCTTCTCGAGGACTTTCTTGCAGCACGCATGTCGCAGATCCAGTGGACCTCTTGTTAACCCCTTCATGGCGGGCCAGCAGAAGGGCATTCGAGCCGCCCCAGATCATCGCGGCCTTCGAGTCCTCGAGCAGGTAGCCAACCTCACATAATTTGTACCTCTCGCCCCCCTTGACGCGCGGGAAGCGATGCTCGATGCTCGCCCTGGGCCCAAAGAACATCTCGCTGGCATGTGCGCTGGAAATGCGAAATTGTCCAGCAGCAGGTGGCGCTGCCGCAGCGGCGCCCGCGCCGCCGCCAGCGCTGCTGCTGCCGCTGCCGCCGCCAGCGGCGCCGCTGGACAGGTCCGCCGCCGCCGCGGGCTGGGGGGCGCCAGCGCCGGCTGGAGCAGGGGGCGCGGACACTGTCAGAAGTCAGCGGCGGTGACTCACGAGACTCACGAGAGAAGATGAAGTCAAATTCCCAACGATGCTCGATTCGAGCTCGACGCGTACATGGCGTCGGAAGTAGAGATGAGATGGGGGGGCCAGGAAAGAGACTGAAAAAGGGCCTGTTTGTTGTGCGTCGTGCGTCGTGCTCATGTGTTTTATCTACTTGTGATGTTGGAGTGGTTGCCGCATCTTCTGGAGCACCAGTTTACCGCTAAACAGTTGTTCGGCAACATGCAACTGCGTTCGTTTTCAGGTGTGTGTGTGTGTGTTTGTGATTGTTTGCGTTGTTGTTAGCGTTGCCGTTATCATTGTGGGTGCGAGCGATGTTGTAAACCATCTGCGCTACGTCGCGCCATGTCTGCGTCATGCCCCCCCTCTAAAACCCCACCCAGTCTACGACCCCTGGACCTGGAATTCCGAGCAAGCGGGAGCTCGGCCGCCCCGAGTTCTTTCCATAGCCACCACATGGGGAACTGAAAATGCGCGCCGAATGCATGCAGCAGTAGCGACAGCGTCTAGCGTGTGCGCCAGCGAAGACGAGCACGCGCGCAATGCGATCTATTTCCCGCCAGTTTGGCTGGCAGAGCGCATCTCAGCGGAGCCGCTTCCCGAGCAGGGCGAGGGGCCAGGACCAGAGGATAAGCTTTCGTAAAGTCCGGCCTGACTCCTCAGAAACTCCAGGACGTCATTGGGCGTTTTTGGGCGTGTATTCTCGGAATCGAGGTCCCTGGGCGGTCTGGGCCGTGTTCGTGTGTTCGTGTTCGGTTTGCTCTTACTGGCCTACAAATCGATCATGTATTTCTCATTCATTTTCGGGAATATCTTCTGAGCGCTAGAGATGTGATTGCCTCCTCCACCAGGTGGCGCAGCCGCCATCTGGCCGCCCTGGCCATTGCCGGCGCTGCTACTGGCATCGCCGGTGACAGAGGATTCCGCCGCGGGAATGGGGGGGTCAGCATTGAAAGAAGTCATCGCCAGCATGGGTAGCTCAAAGACACAGACTCACCCGAGAAAACCTCGAAGGATAGATGGCGAGAAAGAAACATCGTCGAAGGGAAAGTGGAGCGGAAGCAGTGAGGAGAAGAGGCGGGGATTGAGGGAGAGGGGAAAGGTTGGCAGGAAAGGGCGGAGAGGAAAGAAGGGGAGTGGGTCGTTCACTTGCGTCGCCAGTATGTCGATCAAGACGTCGCAGATGTCGCGGCGATTTGCATCGTCGATTTCGCCGTCGCGATTGCGCGCAGAAGGCGGAACCTCAGAACGCTGTCGCAGCACTCCTTGCAGCATGGGCGCATGTTACACGCGCCTGCTCGGATTATCATTTGCATTAGCATTGTCGTGCAGCCAACCAGCTGCACTGCGAGCTGAGGACTACGCCCCCCCACTCCCGCCATTCAAAATGAGAGCTCTCCTGGTGGCGACTCGGACCGACTACTGCTGCCGCTGCTCCTGGTCTTAAACGCGAAGTGGTGTCTTCCCTCCATGACTCATCATCTCTCGTTGCTGCCTCCCTCCCTCGTACCCCCGATGATTGCTCTCTCATCAAATGACCGCCGGTGTGGCCGGGGCAGGCATGGGCGACGGCTCCGAGTCCGACTCGGGGCAGTTGGACGGGCCGGCAGCTGCTACACGGCGCCGCTTCGCGAGCAGGGTGAAAGGGGCGAGGAAAAGAGAAGAGAAGGAAATGGGCGTGCTAAGGGAAACAGAGATTAGATCTGGAAGGGCGCGGGCAGCAATCGCAACAATGCTCAGCTGCGCTCATTCAGGCACTCCTCATTTTCTCTGCCTCGCCACGGCCAGCGCCAGCCAATGGCCGACGGCGCCGCGATCTGGCAGGAAGCCTCCCTGGCCCAACTGCAAGGTGGCGGCTGATAGCCCAGACGAGCTCGGGGCAGCGCTGCCGGCCGAAGTGGCGCCGGCATTCCCTCGACAGGCGCGGGCTAGGGGGGGGGGGGGCGGGCGGGGCGACGCGAAAGAGGAAGAAAGAGGAGGAGTGAAAGGGTGGAGGATGAGAAATGCGCAACAAGAGGGAGAGAGAGAGAGAGAGAGAGAGAGAGAGAGAGAGAGAGAGAGAGAGAGAGAGAGAGAGAGAGAGAGATAGAGGAGAGAGAGAGATAGAGAGAGAGAGTGAGAGAGAGAGAGAGAGAGAGAGAGAGAGAGAGAGAGAGAGAGAGAGAGAGAGAGAAAGATGAGACGACATCGTAGGCTACGTTGCCCATGGGGTCCTCTGGAGGCAGCGGTCGTTCTGCAAGGCCCGCCGTCGGTTCCGCTGGGCATCATCTGAGAGGTCAGTCACGTCGGCGATCCCCCACGGGAGTGCGACTCCGAGGGCGCCGAGGCGCATCGCGTTACCGGCTTGATGCAGGACCCCCCCCCTCCTGCGATCGCCGCGGTCGAAGTTGAGGGAACATGCCTCTGGGATCCTCCGGAAACCTCCCCCCCCCATAACCAACTCCCCATTCAGCGTATGTTTCATCGAAAGATGTAGGGGTGATAGCGGGGGCCATTGAAGAGCAAGGGGGAGTTGGATTGGATAGTGTTTTCAAAAACTTAGGGGTGCCCCCCCATGCGCGGTC